CTCTCAGGGACCTGACATCTCTGAGCCCTGGCAGCCCTATTTAATTTCCAAGTCAGCAAGCCCCACAACTGCGGGAGCTTCCTCTTCCTTCCTTGCCTTAGGACATTCATCCTTCCAGTGGCCAAAAGCTTGGCACCGGGCACACTGGTTTCGCTATAACGGGCCCAGGGCCTCCCTTGGGACCGGCTGAAGGACTGTCCTGTCCCTGGGGCAGATGAGGTTTTCCGGAGGGCCCGAGATAGACTTTCCCAGAGCGGCAGCTTGCCCTGTAAGTCTCTTGTCTGTTCTCTTTCATTCTCTCCGGCTCTCTGGCAGAGCGCAGTCTCTGCTTAATTCCAACGTCTCCCTCCCCTTCTTGTCAGTACTCTCCGCGAGAGGCGGGTATAGCTTAGGCAGTTCGGCTGGAGCCGGATCCTGCGAGTGTTGGCCAGAGGCTTCTGTCACCGGGATCGGGGATCGGAGCCTGCCCAAACGGCGGCTCTACGACCTCCGGGAGAGCTGGCGGAGGAGCTGCGGCTGCTGCATGAACTTCCCCTGGCCCTGGATCGGGCATTAAGACGGCCTCCGGTCCTGGTGAAGCGCTGGGAGGCAGGCGTGTCACCATCCAGCATGGGGGAGGGGCCAGGTCATCCCCGTCCAAATACTGTAGAGTTTCCTTTTTGATCATCAGTCAATTTTTGTGCCATTAATATCTTTCTCTTTCCCTTCTGGATACAGAACCTTGTCCAAGTGGGAGGGTCTCAAGCTAACCCTAGCCATGAGTCAGTAGATGGATATTGATCCATGTGCCCTGGCTCTCCTGTGACTACTGTGTAGGTTGCTTCCACTATTTTTTGAGTTCATGGTGTTCTCTGGTGGCCATCCTGCTCCCATAGGGGGCCATTCGACCACAGAGTATGTGGAGGCGGTTAGGCTTCATCCCCACCCCATAGTCTCCTCCAAATCCCTTCTTTAAATTTTTAATCATGCAGTCTAATACAGTTGCCTTAGATTCACTTCCCCCCATCTTGCTTACCTTCTCAGACCTTCTTCTACTTTTCCTTTTCATTCTGTCTACAAAGTTCTCAGTACCCTATGTACTTCTGATATTTCCACTCAGTGACACTTAAATTGCCATTCTGCCTCCTTCCTAATTGGGGTGAGAAGAGCCTTACCTGCCAGATCCCAGAGAGAGAAGGGGGATCAGCGTGTCTTCACCTGCCGGTCAGCACAGCTGAATCAGAACATCACATGGCCCAAGACTGTTTCTCCCTTAAAGTCCATTCTGCCTTGGTGGGCTTGATCAGGTGCCAGTGAAAACACAGATGGGTTAAATATCGCATGTCCCAGGCCATCTCCGGAAAAGCCAATTCATACTCACTTCTGTATCCCCCTCCTTCTAGCCTAACAATTCCGAGGGGGTCAAGAATTTCACAGCAGACAAGACACCTCCTGGGGGAGGGCAGAATATGAGCATACAAGGACCAGTTTCCTATCCTAAAAATCCCCTGGTGATCGCTTGGTAATAATTTTCCCCGAGACGGCGTGGACACGCCTCCTAAATGACCTTCACAAATTTCCTTCCTAAACCCTAGCACGCTCGCCGACCTGTGTACCAAGCAATCACCGCCTGCCTATTCCAGGCTCCTGTGGGTCCCCACTCCTTCTAGTCCCTCCCAGGGGGGTGATCAGGCCCCCTCTTCCACCCTGCTGGGTGGGTTCCTCCTCATCTGAGCGCTCAGTTCCCCTGCTGCCGTCCACTACCTGCTGACGTGAAAGCTCCGGGCGTTGAAAAGCAGAATCCTTCCAGAGGGGCGAGGCGTCTTCCCCCCTCTAGGAGATTCAAGCTACAAAGCCTCGGGGTGGCCTCAAATGAGACCTGTCTCCTCAAAGCGAGGCGTTTCCCCATGCACCAAATGTTATAGCCATGCTTTCCGGGAAACAAACTCACTCAGAAGGACAATGCAGATAGTGGAGTGCAGTTTATTACACTGGCGGACCCAAGGCAGAGTCTCCTCTTAGCCAAGGACCCCAACCAGCATTTGTGAAAATCTTTTATACCCCATGTGTACGTGTCCAAACCCACCACCCCAATTCCCTTGAGACTTACATAAACAAAGGAAGGGTAAATACAACTACAATAACCCCATCATTCAGGTGTTATGTGTTCAAACAGTCAATAATCAATAAGCCCACAGTTACATTCCAAACAGTTAATAATCAATAAGCTTGTGGTCACGTTGCAACCAGTTAATAATCGATAAGCCTGTGATTACATCCCGATAGATACGGAAAAAGTTTATGACCTGTCCGGAGACAGGGATGATTACGGTATGTTTCCTCTTAGGCGATGAGTAACCTGGATGTGATCTTCAAGATTCCCCTGTCAGGAGGGGGTCTTATCCTTTCACTGTCGTTCCCACAGGCACTAAGCAGAGAGTTCAGAGTCCACTGGAGAGGCAGCCGAGCATAATCCGCACAGTTAGGCCTGAGATGGAGTCCTGGCCCTATGAATTCCTTCTTCACCTTTACTGATGTGTCCTTAGAGCTATTTCTGCTACTTTCTTTGTTGTTGTTTACTAAGTTGTATCTGACTCTCTAGTGACCCTGTGGACTCTCATCAGGATCCTCTGTTCATGGGATTTCCCAGGCAAGAATACTGGAGTGGATTGCCATTTCTTTCTCCAGGGTATTTTCCTAAGCCCAGGATCAAAGCCAAGTCTCCTGCAGTGGCAGGCAAGTTGTATACCACTGAGCCAACAGGGAAGCCCTGCTACTATCTTTAAAGAACTACATAAACATTATTAACTACTTTCTGAAGTGCACATTTTGCGGCAGTTTTTCTGATATAATCTCAACCCCACATACAAAATGTTACACCAAGGCTTGCAGAAATAATGATCACTGCCTAGAAGATGAGATCCAGGGGTTCAGAAATGCTTTTTTTTTTTCAGGGTTCAGATGCTCCCTTTTGCACATGCACTCCAACTGAAAATCAAAGCTTCTATGTAGTGCCCAAAACTTCAGTCAAGTTGCTTTTTGTTTGATTGCTCAGAGCAACTGCATGTATCTGGAATATGAATTAAAAGTATTACAACAGATAAAAGTGTTCGTCGATGAGTGAGAAAATTCCTAATTGTGCGGGCAAGAGAGAGGTTTTGTGTAGGACCAGAAGCAGACCTTGTTGTTTACTTCAGGGTGACCCACCATCTGTTCACAAGAAAACCACAGGCTGAATACGAAATTACTTACAATAGGCCGTGACAGCAAACCGTGACTTAATACCTAACCTAATCGACTCTTCCACTTTCTCTGGAAATGTAGCCTTAATGAATCAGTTAAGAATTTTCTGGTTGAAATGAAGACCTACTGTATAGCACATGGAACTCTACTCAATGCTATGTGCCAACCTCGATGGGAGCAGTTTTGGGGGAAAATGGATACATGTATATGTATGGCTGAGTCCCTTCACTGTTCACCTGAAACTACCACAACATTGTTGATCAGTTACACCCTAAAACAAGATAAAAAGTTTAAAGTTTGAAAAAAAATAATTTTCTGGTTGTTACCAATGAGGTAATATGTCACATGGGGCCCTCTCCATCTCCCTCAAAGGAAGATGAGGTAATCTGCTGCCTAGACCCCTTCCATTCTCCATAGGTAGGTTATCTAAGCCTGCAGTCATCCTATCTATTGACGACTTCCTTTTCCTACTTTAAAAAACGTTTTCCTCTCTGTAGCCCTTCAGAACTCCCCCTTGCTCGCTAGAAGGGTTGATGCTTAATTCGTGAACCAATCAATAAAGACAGTTGATTGTTTTTTTTTTTTTTTTTCTTGCCAGTCGGGACCTGAAAGGGATCTTTCCTATTGTTCCTAATGATTCACACTGAAACTCACAAAAGTGATGCTTCAGGCTACAGACATTTGAGAGCAATAACCAATTTTCTAGCAATCCATGGACTCATTTTTGCCTGAATGGCTCTATTGAATGATGCCCCTCACACCTCAGTTGTGGATAGAAGTAGAAGACATAACATAAAAGTTGCAAGTTGTTCTATTCAGGGATGTTACTAAAAATTTTAACTCTAGTAACAATCTCTCATACAGCTTTGAGAAGCTGCTCCATAGAGGTAAGGGAGAAGCTGGGATATAGAGAAGGTGGTTTTTTTTTTTTTTTTTTTTTTGCTGGAAAAAACAGGCAGTTGACCATTAAAGGATCACTGATAATCACAAAGAACAGACAACTCAAGTTAATGATTTTAGTGCTTTTCTTCTGTGTATGAGAGGATGCAAGAATCTGGGCTTTTTTTTTTTTTTTTTTTTTTTGCTGGAAAAAACAGGCAGTTGACCATTAAAGGATCACTGATAATCACAAAGAACAGACAACTCAAGTTAATGATTTTAGTGCTTTTCTTCTGTGTATGAGAGGATGCAAGAATCTGGGCTTCTTAACATTAGTCCTTAGATATGCATCTTAACTATTAAGGGTCATTGTCCCAGGCACAGAATGCTTCCTGTCTGTCTGCATCCTGATTTCCCCTCAGGGAACACCTTTGGGGAACAGCAGTAGTGGCTGTGGCTTTGATTCTTTTAGAACTGGAATGGGATCTGGAATGCGGGCAGCATTGCCTTCCCACAATAACAGAATTTGGAAAAGTCTAAAATAATAGACTTGTCCTCTGAGAGCAGGTTGAGCTTGGGAGGAGTCTAAATTAAAGTCTCTTCACGTCTTTAAGGAGTAAAGCTCCTCGCTCTGGGGAGGAGAACCATTTCCCCGCATTCTTCCGGGTAGCTTACAGGAAATGCTCTGGAAATTAAGGATGGCAAAACACCCTTTCCTGGGGTCTCCAGAGGACCCAGAACCTCACTACCAGGAAGAGCCTAGGCAGAGCGACACCAGTTGTTGAACCAATGAGGGATGAGGATGACGACTTTCCCCCAGTGAGCATGCGTCAGGGGAGGGATTTCTGAGGGATTTCCGGTCTCTCCTAGCGCCCAATTTGCTTAGAGGATCCGTTGGAGCAGGGTACGCTCCCGGGGAACTGTTGTGCTCCGTCCGGCATGGTTGTCCTCACGGAACGGTGAGGGGAGAAGGGGACACCCGCCTAGCCAGCCTGGTTACCCCCCTTTCTTGGCGTCTCTCCTGTTGGCCCCCCGGTTGGGGACGGGAGGGTCCGAGAGGAGGCTCTGTCCTCGCTGCACAGCGCCAGACCCGGGATAAGGACCGACACTCCCGTCCCTCTCAAGGCAGAGTCCGATGGCTGCGGCGGCGCTGCGGGACCCACCTCAGGTAAACGCTAGTCCTCCCGGCCCTCACCGCCCTTGCTCCGTGCTTGCGTGCTAAGTCGCTTCATTCCTGTCCGACTCTTTGCGACCACATGGACCGTAGCCGTCCATGTCCTCTGTCCATGGGATTCTCCAAGCAGGAATACTGGAGTGGGTTGTCATGCCCTGCTCCTGGGACCCGAAGCAGGGATCGAGCCCGCGTCGCCTGTGTCTCTTGCATTGGCAGGCGGATTCTTTTTTGGGGGCGGGTGGATCCCTGATATATAAATTGTGCATCAGTTCTAGGGAACAAATGGAGAAGAACTTGTTCTCCAGGAACTTAGTGGGGAGGAAGGAGGCAAGTGTGTACTGGCGTTTGGCATTCAAATAGATAATTTCAGTATAATTTTGTTAATAATTATAGATACAAAGATTGTTATGAAAGCACTGAAAAAGGACATTGTTTTAAAAGTTCAGGACAGTTTTTTTGAGTCAGGTTTTGAAAAATGAGAAGTATTTTGCCAAGTGAAGGAAGAAAGAAAATACATCCTGAGCAGAGGGACTAGAATATGTAAATAACAATGGTGTTAATAACGGTCACAAAAATAACAGTAAACACACAGTGCTTACCAAGAACTATTTTAAACCCTCAATATATGTTATTTAATCTTAATAGTAATCATGTGAAGTAGGTGGTAACTTTTATAGAGGAGGAAACTTTAGGACAGAGGTATTAAGCCCATTGTACAGGCTCATAGCTGGTGTACACTACCCTAGAATTTAATCTCAAGCAGTCTGCCTCTTAATAGTAATCATGTGAAGTAGGTGGTAACTTTTATAGAGGAGGAAACTTTAGGACAGAGGTATTAAGCACATTGTACAGGCTCATAGCTGGTGTACACTACCCTAGAATTTAATCTCAAGCAGTCTGCCTCTTACTCCATGCTGCTGTTCTAAGGAAGGAAAGCAAGAGGCTACATTTAATACATTTTTTTTTTCAGTTCCAAGCTTCAGACATAGAAAAGGCTTTCTGAATTATAACACATTTTTAAAAATTTATTTGTTTACTTTAATTGGAGGCTAACTACTTTACAGTATTGCAGTGGTTTTTTACCATACATTCACGTGAATCAGCCGTGGGTGTACATCCTGAAAACCCCCTCCCACCTCCCTCCGCATCCCCTTCCTCAGGCCATCTCAGTGCACCAGCCCTGAGCAGCAGAATTCTTAACCACTGTCGCCACCTTGGGAAGCCCATGCTGCACCAGACAGTTAAGTCTGGGGCCCATGCTCACTTGCCCGCAGCTCAGGCCCCGGGATTCAGGATGGTGAGGCGGTCGTCAGGCCGTTTCTGACCGCATGGTGGAGAGTGGGAGAGCATGACAGATGGAGGGACCCCAAAATGCAGAGGCTTGTAGGTCAGACTAACCAGAACCACGTACAACTTCTCTGCTTTCATTTAGAAGCCAGATGCGGCGGGGCCAGATTCAGGCATGCAGTGTTGCCGCCTGAGAAGTTGGCAATTTGTTACACAAGTAATGAGAGGTTTGAATCGCAGGTAGGAGGTAGTCTTTCCGAAATCAAAAGAAGCTCCAACAGGTTGCAGAGACCAGACTATAGAAGTAAACAGTGGGAGGGGCAGCAGGAGGCATGGAATGATTAATTGTGATTGCCTAGTTGAGTATTCATGGACCAGAGGGACTGCCCTCGATGTCTCAGGAATTCTGGATCCATTTTTGGAGACGGGCCAAGCCAAATTGTGGGTCTGTTGGTGACAGAAAGGAAGTAGCGAGGGATGACCCTCAGGGTTTTGGCCTTAGTTGATGAAGGGATGGAAGGCCCATCAACTGGATGGGGACCTTAGCAGCAGATTAATTTTCCTTGGAAATATTATGTTTGTTTTCGCTCTGTTAAGAGTCTGAGATGTTTCAGAGAAGACTGAGTGTAGGCAACGATTGGACAGTTGACTAGGCAGGTCTGGAAAACTGGGAAGGTGTTCAGGAATGGAAACTTTCAAAAGTGATGACTGTTGTGTGGAGCAGCGTGGAGCTGTGGATCACATTTAGGAGGGGAATGCAGGTTATAGTAGGCATGATATTAGTAGGTCAGAAAGACGGGTGTGTCTTGAGGAGTGGTTCTTTTGCTCAGGGCCTGGATATGTTTGTGGGCATTGCAAACCCAAGTGAGGTAGCGAAGTAGCAGTGGGAACTGTGTAAAAGAGGTCAGCCTGGCAGGTGGCGAAGGCTTGTGTGGGATGAGTGGAGGAAAAATGGCTGAGGAGACCAGGAGTAATTGAGACAAGAAGGCAGTGAGGATCGGGCTGCTGCTTATTTAGTACTATATGGCTTCTTCAAGATTTTGTGATGAATTTTGATGGGATCTGGGATGTTTTAGTCTTGCTAGTGGATGAGGTCTGGGGCAGATGTCAATTATGAGTCACTATGTCTGGCTGAAAACTCAACATTCAGAAAACTAAGATCATGGCATCAAGTCCCATCACCTCATGCCAAATAGATGGGGAAACAATGGAAACAGTGACAGACTTTATTTTCCTGGACTCCAAAATCACTGCAGATGGTAACTGCAGCCATGAAATGAAAAGACACTTGCTCCTTGGAAGAAAAGCTATGACAAACATAGACAGCATATTAAAAAGCAGAGACATTACTTTGCCAACAAAGGTCAATCTAGTCAAGGCTATGGTTTTTCCAGTAGTCATGTATGAATGTGAGAGTTGGACTATAAAGAAAGCTGAGCAGTGAAGAACTGATGCTTTTGAACTGTGGTGTTGGAGAAGACTCTTGAGAGTCCCTTGGACTGCAAAGAAATCAAACCAGTCAATCCTGAAAGAAATCAGTCCTGACTATTCATCGGAAGGACTGATACTGAAACTCCAGTACTTTGGCAACATGATGCCAAGAACTGACTGACTGGAAAAGACCCTGATTCTGGAAAAGATTGAAGGTGGGGGAAGGGGACGACAGAAGATGAGATGGTTGGATGGTATCACCAACTCAAAGGACATGAGTTTGAGTCCACTCTGGGAGTTGGTGATGGATAGGGAAGCCTGGCATGCTGTAGTCCATGAGGTCGCAAAGACCTGGACATGACTGAGCGACTGAACTGAACTGAAGTGATGTCTTGTGGGGAGATTTTTAGGGCTGGGTTTTTTACAAAGCTTGAGTGGAGAGACGAGTGTTGTGGTGGTTGAGGGCAAAGCTGGCAGTAAAGAAGTTGAAAAGAGTTGTGGGAATGTGAAATTCACGTATGGTTTTAGGGTGGCAAATATGGAAGGAAGGACTGGTGGCAGGTGGTGAGATTTTTTAAGCAGTATTTGTGGCTTAGTTTGGCATTAGAGTTATCAGGGGAGTGAGGTTGTAGTGAATCTTCCTTTAATTTCTCAAGCATTTTCTGGATGCCAAGCGCCAGATGTACACATATGTTCAGGAAGAATTCTATGGTGTGGTGCAGGGAGATGGCAGTGCTGTGGAAGTGCAACTGTGAGGTCTGAAATTGTGAGAGAAGTGCCACCTACAGAATGATGTGCACATAGAACGTGTGAACTGGTGCCCCCCTGCCCCTACCGCCAGGCCCTGGTGTTGAGGTTACAGGCGAAACATGAGTTTATCTTTGTCTGTGTCTGGTTTCCCACAATTTGAGAGTCTCCAGGGGAATCGCTTGGCTGGAAGGACGGGACATTGCACACCAAGCCCAGAGTTTAGATGGCATCTGTGTGTACCACCACCCCCTCCACCCAGTGACTGCTGAGGGCTGAACACATTGGTTAATGGCTTTGAGGAGTCAGCAGCATCTGTTGCACCAGGGCCTGGCATCTTCTCTCAGGTTGGGAGCTCTGGTGGACAGTGTCTGGAATGAATGTGTGCAGAGATGGATTGTAGGTTCTCAGAGGGATAATGTTCGAGCTTTCATCTGTCCCCTTCATGACAGGGTGGTGTGACCTTTCCAGATGTTGCTGTGTGCTTCTCCCAGAGGGAATGGAGGCTCCTTGATGAGACTCAGAGACGCCTGTATCTGGATGTGATGCTGGAGAACTACACACTTATATCCTCACTGGGTAAGACTCAGCCTTCCCAGTGACCTGGGCTGGGCTCTGTATCCTGCCTCACCCTACCTTTCTGAAGGAGGTGCTCTGTCCTCACGTGGTATAGGCACTGCTAGTTTCCCCAGTTTTCTGTATAGTTGTTGTGGTAGGTAGAAGGCTGGGGTGTGGGCACTGCCCTCTTTTCTCTCCAACCCCAATCCTTGCTGTACTGGACTCTAATAGGGCAAGTGGTTTGGTTATACATATATATGTATACATCCATGTGTTTTCAGTTCTTTTCCATTAAATAGTTTACTATAAGTTATTGAATATGGTTCCCTGTGCTATACAGTAAATCGTTGTTTAATATATACATGGTAGTGTGCATCTGTTAATCCCATATTCCCAATTTATCCCTTCCTCACTTCTTTGGCAACCATGAGTTTGTTTTATCTGAATCTGTGTCTATTTTGTAAATAAAGTTCATTTGTATTTTTTTTAGATTCCACATATAAGTGATAGCACATACATTTGTTTTTCTCTGATTTACTTCACTTAGTATGATAACCTCTAGGTTCATCCATGTTGCTGCAAATAGCATTATTTCATTCTTTTTATGACTAGTATATAATCCCCACCCCCGCCCCACCGCTCCCAGACACACCTCAAGGCTTTGGGATCTTAGTTCCCTGACCAGGGATTGAATTTAGGCCCCAGCAGTAAAAGTGCCCAGTCCTAACCACTGGACCTCCAAGGAATTTGCTGTAATTGCTTTTTGACCATTTTATTATAATATGCTTCAGTGAAGTTTTTGATTAAACCCATGAGCCTCATGTATCTGGATATCTAATCTTTTCTCTCTAGTTAGAAAGTGTTCAATCATTGTTTCTTTAAATCTGCTTGCTACCCCTTTCTCTCTGTCTTCTCTTTCCAGGACTCTGAAAATGCAAATAATGTTTTGCTTTATGTTTCATAATCCATGTATGCTTTCTTCACTTCATCTTTCTCTTTTTTTTCTCCTCATTGAATAATTGAAACACCTGTTTTCAAGTTCCTAGATTTTTACTTTTGCGTAATAAAATTTGGCTGTTGATACTGTCTTCATTGTGCTTTACTTCATTGTATTCTTCAGCAACAGAATTTCTGTTTGGGTCCATTTGTTTGTTTGCTTTCTTTTTAAAAACACATTTTTATTTGGTTAGTTTTGCCTGTGTGGGTCTTTGCTGCAGTGAGTGGGAACTACTCTTCCTTATGGTGTGTAGGTTTCTCATTGCCGTGGTTTCTTTTCTTGTGGAGCAGACTCTAGGAGCATGGGCTCAGTAGTTGTGGTTCAGGGGCTTGGTTGCTACGGGCCATGTAGAATCTTCCTGGACCAGGGATCTTTGACAGGTGGACTCTTAAAGACTGGACCACTGGGGAATCTCTTGTTTGTTTGTTTGTTTTCAATGAGTGTCATCATTGTATACTAAGGTAAACATAATACCCAGCAGATGAAGGTAATTCTACCAACTCAGAATTTTTGCAAGTACATGAAATTTCCATTTTTATTGTACAGTTTTCTCAGACTAGTCAAAGCATTTCTTACATGTATTCCAGTGTAGCTGCTTTGGAGTGATTTTTAATAGCTGTAACATAAAAATATACCAAGGACCTTGAATCTAAATGGAATTCCAACTGACTGATTTTTAGTTAAACAAGGTAATAAATAGAGAGGCTCAACAGGGAGGGGATATATGTATACATATGGCTGATTCACTTTGTTGTACAGAAGAAATTAATACAACATTGTGAAACAATTCTACTCCCCCAAAAAAGATTGTTAAAATCTTCAGGTTATTGATACTATCCTTTTTCAACAGTTATTTATACTCTTCTGTTTGGGTCCATTTGTTTGTTTGCTTTCTTTTTAAAAACACATTTTTATTTGGTTAGTTTTGCCTGTGTGGGTCTTTGCTGCAGTGAGTGGGAACTACTCTTCCTTATGGTGTGTAGGTTTCTCATTGCCGTGGTTTCTTTTCTTGTGGAGCAGACTCTAGGAGCATGGGCTATATGCTCATATAACATGAGTTATATGTTTGAACATTCAAAACACAAAGACAGCACAAAAAGACAATAAAAGCTTAAGCCCATAGTCATAATTTTTTGACAGAAACTTAAGTATCTTTCCTGCAAATTGACTGGTTCTCTCGTATTTCCATCTAGTTTTCACTTAGTTAAAAATAGATGCCTAAGGGATATACATTGCAAAGAAACAGAGGAAAACAATAGAATGGGAAAGACTAATTTTCTTCAAGAAAATTAGAGATACCAAGGGAACATTTCATCCAAAGATGGGCTCAATGAAGGACGAAAATGATATGGACCTAAGAGAAGCAGAAGATATTAAGAAAAGGTGGCAGGAATACACGGAAGAACTATACAAGAAAGATCTTCATGACCCAGATAACCACGATGGTGTGATCACTCACCTAGAGCCAGACATCTTGGAATGTGAAGTCAAATGGGCCTTAGGAAGCATCACTATGAACAAAGCTAATGGAGGTGATGGAATTCCAGTTGAGCTGTTTCAAATCCTAAAAGATGATGCTGTGAAAGTGCTACCTTCAATATGGCAGCAAATTGGAAAAGTCAGCAATGGCCACAGGACTGGAAAAGGTCAGTTTTCATCCCAATCCCAAAGAAAGGCAATGCCAAAGAATGTTCAAACTACTGCAAAATTGTACTCATTTCACATGCTAGCAAAGCAATGCTCAGAATTTTCCAAGCAAGGCTTCAGGAGTACATGAGCTTCCAGATGTTGAAGCTGGATTTAGAAAAGGCAGAGGAGCCATAGATCAAATTGCCAACATCGGTTGGATCATAGAAAAAGCTAGAGAATTCCAGAAAACATCTACTTTTGCTTTGTTGACTGTGCCAAAGCCTTTAACTGTGTGGAGCACAACAAACTGGAAAATTCTTCAAGAGATGGGAACCCAGACAACCTTACCTGCCTCCTGATAAATCTGTATGCAGGTCAAGAAGCAACAGTTAAAACCAGACATGGAACAACGGACTGGTTCCAAATTGGAAAAGGAGCACATCAAGGCTGTATACTGTCACTCCGCTTATTTAACTTCTATGCAGAGTACATCATGCAAAATGCCTGGATGGATGAAACACAAGCTGGAATCAAGATTGCCAGGAGAAATATATCAATAACTTCAGATATTCAGATGATACCACTGTTATGGCAGAAAGCAAAGAGGAACTGAGGAGCCTCTTTATGAAAGTGAAAGAGGAGAGTGAAAAGGCTGGCTTAAAACTCAGCATTCAGAAAACAAAGATCATAGCATCAGGTCCATCACTTCATGGCAGACAGATGGGGAAGCTGTAGAAACAGTGACAAACTTTATTTTTGGGGGCTCCAAAATCACTGCAGGTGGTGACTGAGCCATGAAATTCAAAGATGCTTGCTCCTTGGAAGAAAAGCTATGACCAACTTAGACAGCATATTAAAAAGCAGAGACCTTACTTTGCCAACCAAGGTGCGTCTAGTCAAACTATGGTTTTTCCAAGAGTCGTGTGGATGTGAGAGTTGAACCATAAGGAAAGCTGAGCAGTGAAGAATGGATGCTTTTAAACTGTGGTGTTGGAGAAGACTCTTGAGAGTCCCTTGGACTGCAAGGGAATCAAACCAGTTAATCCTAAGGGAAATCAGTCCTGAATATTCATTGAAAGGGCTGATACTGAAGCTGAAGCTCCAGTAATTTGGCCATCTGGTGCAAAGAACTGACTCACTGGAAAAGACCCTGATTCTGGAAAAGATTGAAGGCAGGAGGAGAAGGGGATGACAGAGGATGGGATAGTTGGATGGCATCACCGACTTGATGGACATGAATTTGAACAGGCTCCGGGAGTTCATGATGGACAGGGAAGACTGACATGCTGCAGTCTGTGGGGTCACAGAGTCAAACACGACTGAGTGACTGAACTGAACTGAGCTGAAGGCGTATACCTCATATATATACTACCTTGGTTCTCCTAACTTTCGTTATTCAAGTTTTTAATACTCATAGAAGTCCAAAGGTACTTAAAAAAGTAACAGTAGGAATTGTCAGTCTTGAGTATGTTTCTGGAATTTAACTTGTAACAAATATATTCTGTTATGTAAAATGTTTTTACCTTATTTTGAAAGCACTAAATATGTAGGGATGTAAAAAAAAAAGAAGTCCAAAGGTGTAAGAATACATAAACTGTTCTGGTAATAGGTAAGAGCAGACTGTAAAAGTGTAAGTTGTTTGTGCTATTTCAGCTCAGTAGAAAGTTTTCTTTTGGAGACCAAGTAGAATAATTCTGCTAAAAGATCAGTGCAATACAGTCAATGTAGAAACAGCCTTTCCCACATATTAGTTGACACTGTTCTGGTATTAAGAGGATATATTTGTTCTGTGTCTGCATGAAAGTGTTTGATTATAAATATATGTAATGATCTTGTTCCATTTCTTATTTTGATATGTCTTCTTAGCTCCCTGTTGTATCATAATGTTAGGTAGTTAAAGAGGGAAAAGGAGTCCAAAATGGCGATTGCTAAAAGACAAGGAAGGGACAAGCCCGTGAAAATAGAACAAAGGAAGGTCAAAGAAAGGAGTGAAGACCTCAGGCAGAACAAACAGCACTTCTGGCTAAGCCCAATTTACATAGGGCAGGCCCAGGGGGAGGAAAAAAACATAAAAGGAGGAGCCAAAGTACACCCCCCCCCCTCACTCTATCTCCCAGGTGTGTGCGCTCGCGCTACCCCCCCCCCCCTTTGTTCTCTCTCTTTCTCTCTCCTGCACACTGTCATGCTCCTCCACTCTCTTCTCTCTCTTCTCTTCGCCTCTTTGGGTTGGCATGCCCTCACGCTTTGAGGATGGATCCTCCCACTATCTTGTAAATAAAATAGAGCTATAACACTGATTTGTCTAAGAGCTACAGCATGGTTTGCCCAAGACCCGAGAGCTGTGACGAGCCGAGGGCTTTAATGTCCATCGCTCCAAATCTTTGTTGTGATGAGACAGAACTAAGGAGCATACACTCACCTGACAATATTAAGAATCCCATCAATGATGTGATAGGCATTTCCCACATATTCATTTATCAGTTTATCTGTTGATTCTTCACATCTGAGTGCCTTTTTGGAGAGTGGGCATACCAGAACCTCTGGTATCACTGGTTGAAAGTGTGGGGTGATTCTTCAGTCCTATTCCTCTCAGCCAGCCTTCATGAGTTCAGTGAGTGATGGTATCGTTAGTCACTTAGTCATGTCCGACTCTTTGTGACCCCATGAACTGTAGCCCACCAAGCTCCTCTGTGGAATTCTCCAAGCAAGAATACTGGAGTGGGTTGCCATTTCCTTCTCCATGGGATCTTCCCAACCCAGGTACTGAACCCAGGTCTCTTGCATTGGAGGCAGAATCTTTACTGGCTGAGCCACCAGGGAAGACCTGTAGACAACTGTGGAAGATGGTGTACCTGTCCCCTGCAGCTCTTGGGTGTGGCAGCCAGAGACTGTCCCTTTGGGCATCCTTGGCCAGTCTGTTTTGTTCTTTTTCATTTTTGTCTCTTTGTTAAACAACTTGTTTGGTTTATGTATTATTTACCTTACTTTGTTGAATTGTCTGTGCTTTGTTGTTGCTTCAATGAACTGTGGTGAAACAATTATTTTGAACTCTTTGACCCTTTGTAGGTCTCCATTTCCTTGGGTGTGGTTTCTGATAAATTATGGTATTTCTGTGTTGGTTTCATGTTTTGATTTTTTGTGTGTTTCCTGTAGCCTTGTATTTCTTTATGCTGATTTGATGGTGTAGTCATTTCTTCCAGGCTTCACATTACAGTTTTTGGTGTGGGAAGACCTCAATCTGTGGTGGGTTCAACTTTGGGCTGTGGCTATTCTGGCTCTGGAAAGCCCAGCTATGTTCTCTGTGCCGTCCCTTCACCTGAAGTCAGTGTCAGTAAAGATAATCAAGATTATCAAGATTCCTCAATCAGCAAGGCTGAGGGTGTCCAAAGTGGTGGAGAAGGCTGCTAGGGAACTCCTGATCTCTTTTTCTCCCGGAGGACTTTGTCACCAAGGGGATCCTTCTTGGTGCCCTGTTGACTGTTGGTCACCTGATTGGTTGTGGTAACACTGGTGTCTGAGATGTATGTATCTGTCGAGGATCCACAGACCTGGGGTGTTGTATACAGGCACTTTCGGAGTGACAGTGATTATGGGGTCTGGGTCATTGGATAGCCTCAGCAACCTTGGCTTTGGTTTGAGATATGTGGCTGTGCAGGGATCAGCCATGGAATCTGCCTGGCTGCACATGTAGACAGTGGCTGTGATTCTGTCAAACTGGCATGTCTATAGAAAAGTTGTTTCTAGTGCCTGAGACACAGGAGTACATGGTGTAGTGGTGGAGTCAGGGTCTGGAATGCCGGCACAGGTTTGGGGGTTGTGGCAGCCCTGCTTCTGGATCAGCACAACAGCTCCTACTGAGGGTGTTGACCAGTAGCTTCATACTCACCAGGGCATCCACTCTGACCATGAGTGTCAGATAACTCAGTGGCAAAAGTTCCAGTGTCCTCTGTAGAGCAGGCAGCTATGTCTTCTGCAGCAGAGGCCACTGGGACTGCAGTGGCCCTTGTCTTGTGGCTGAGAGAAATAGCCCAGTGGCAGCCCAGCCCTCATTTCCTAGTCATTTCCAGATGTCTCTTTTAAGACACTTTCCAGTGATCTTTTCTGTGTGCTTATTTTTTTTATTATGTTCCACTGTGGTGGTGGTGGTGGTGGTGTTCAACACTTAGGTTGTATCCTACTCTTTACAACCTCCTGGACTGCAGCACTGCAGACTCCTCTGTCTTTCACTGTCCCCGGAGTTTGCTCAAATTCATGTCCATTGAGCCAGTGATGCTATCTAACCATCTTATCTTCTGCTGCCCCTTTCTCCTTTTGCCTTCTGTTTTTCCCATCATCAGGGTCTTTTCCAGTGAGTTGGCTCTTTGCATCAGGTGGCCAAAGTATTGGAACTTCAGCTTTAGCTTTAGTCCTTCCAATGAGTATTCAGGGTTGATTTCCTTTAGGATTGACTGGTTGGATCTTCTTGCAGTCCAAGGTATTCTCAAGAGTATTCTCCAACACAAATCAAAAGCATCAGTTTTTTGGCATTCAGCCTTCTTTATGGCTCAACTCTCACATCCATACATGAATATGAGAGTCAGTTCTTGACTGGACTCTTGTGTCTTCCAAGGCTGATTTATGTCCTTCATGGACAGTTGTTTATTTTTCATTGGTGGTAAAGGGTGGTATCTCCTATTCTACTATTTTATTGATGTCACTCAACTTGTGCTTTTTCCTGGGTCTGCTGTAATGCTGAGTTGCTCTAGAACAGTACTGGCCTTTCTCTTTTTCTTTTTTTGCCTTCAGTGCTTCATGTACCCAGTAATTGCAGTTATGACTTTCTTAGGGAAAGGAATCCTTTGTGTATAATGGGATGGACATGACTCTGGCCATGGCACAGTGAGTTCAGTGGGCCTGGTCCTGCTGAATTATAGCTGGGGAGACTGTGACATCAGGGCATTGTTAAAAATATACCGTTATATATATATATATATATATATATACACACCAGGAAACTGTCTTTGTTCAATGAAAACTTTGGTATTATTGCCAGTGACCACACCCCATTTCTACCTTTACTCCTCCACTGTTGACTTTTTGCCGACCTGTCATTTCTGTTACTTTGTCATTTCTGCTATGACTTCCAGCACAGGGATCATCTCCACCTCTCTGGACTCAACATCTTACCTATTTCTCTTACCTCGCTTTCTCTATTACTCTCTGAACTTTGCCCATCATGCATCATGCTGTGAGGTATGAATATTTGCTTAAATTGACCTTGAAAAGCAAATAAATTGTGATTGTGTTTTCGTGGCTGTGATCACACCCTTCTACTGAGCTTCTACTACCTGTAGAAAAGGTCCTACAGGAAGCTATGGACAGAGAAATAAGCACTAGACCTTGCTTCTCTTCCTTGTGTCAGTGACAACTGTATTTTTGCATCCTTTTCTTGTTGAAGTCTCCACCACTTTCAGACCCAGTAATGCACAGCAGCTGCTGCTTAAACTGATTTCCAACTCCCTAGTCTTAAAAAGTATCCCATTTCTTTGAAGGTCGTTCTTATATGAAATGGCTATACATTTATGGTGAACTAGTTCCCTCCCTAGGAGGTCAATGTGCACTTGACTAATGTTTCTTTGCATTCAGGTTGCTGCTGTGGAGCAGAAGGTGAGGAGACACCCTGTGAAAAAACTGTTCCTGTAGGAGTCTCATGGACTGGATCTCCCACAGCAGCTCCATTTTCTCAGAAGACCCATCCCTGTGAGAAGTGTAGTTCAGTCTTGAGATATGTTTTCCAGTTGGTGGAGCAGCAGGAAACACAATACAGCCAAAAACTGTTGCGTTGTGGGGCGTGTGCAAAAAAATTTTATATGCCTTTGAGAAGCTGTGTACATGAGGCTTTATCTTTTAAGAGCCCCAGATTCCATGTGTCAGGGAAGCCTCTTACTTCTGGGAAAATCCTGGCCAGCATGGGACATCTGCAGGCCACTTATACTGTCGAGAAGCTGAATACAGCCACCCAGTGCAGATCAACTTCACCAAGTAGAAGTCATTATACCTCAGGAGATTGTGAGAAAGCCTTCAGCCCTGAATACACACTTGTTCAGGACTGGCGTGTCTACACTGAAAGGCCATGTTTTGTGTGCAGGGAATGTGGGAAAACATTCAGGTACAAATCAACATTTATTATGCACCAGAGAGTTCATCCTGGGGAAGGTCTTCATTTGTTTATCAAAAGTGGCAAATCTTTTAGACAAAACTCAACTGTCAGTCAGCATCAAAAAATTTATACTCATTCAGGATCGGAGAAGTGCAGCAAATGTTGGAAATCCTTAAGCCACAAATCAGTCCTCGTTTCTCCCCAGAGATTGTACAGTGGAGAGAACAGTTCTGTGTGCAGTGAGTGTGCAGAGTCTTTTTACCACAGCTCTGTGTTCATTGGACATAAGAGAGTATTTCCTGGAGAACGTCCTTATAAGTGTAGTGACTGTGTGAAATCTTTTACATGTAGATCTGCCCTCATTTATCATCAGAGATCTCACACAGGAGAAAGGCCTTATCAGTGTAGTGAATGTGGGAAATCCTTTACCACTAACTGCATCCTCCGATCTCATCAGAGATCTCACACTGGAGAAAAGCCTTATAAATGCTATGAATGTGAGAAATCTTTTACCTCTGCCAGTGTTCTACAATATCATCAGAGATCTCACACTGGAGAAAGGCCTTATAAGTGCAGTGAATGTGGGAAATCTTTCATCTCCACTAGCACTCTCCAATATCATCAGAGATCTCACACTGGAGAAAGGCCTTATAAATGCAGTGAATGTGGAAAATGCTTCACCTCTAACGTCAACCTCCGTAATCATCAGAGATCTCACACAGGAGAAAAGCCTTATAAATGCTATGAATGTGGGAAATGTTTTACCTCTACCAATGCTTTGCAATATCATTGGAGATCTCACACAGGAGAAAAGCCTTATAAATGCTATGAATGTGGGAAATCTTTTACTTCTACCAGTGCTCTCCAATATCATCAGAGATCTCACACTGGAGAAAGGCCTTATAAATGCAGTGAATGTGGAAAATGCTTCACCTCTAACGTCAACCTCCGTAATCATCAGAGATCTCACACAGGAGAAAAGCCTTATAAATGCTATGAATGTGGGAAATGTTTTACCTCTACCAATGCTTTGCAATATCATTGGAGATCTCACACAGGAGAAAAGCCTTATAAATGCTATGAATGTGGGAAATCTTTTACTTCTACCAGTGCTCTCCAATATCATCAGAGATCTCACACTGGAGAAAGGCCTTACAAATGCAGTGAATGTGGGAAATCTTTTATGTCTAGATCCTCATTCATTTGTCATAATAGATCTCACACAGGAGAAAGACCTTATGAGTGCAGTGAATGTAAGAAATCTTTTACCTCTAGGCCTTCACTCAGATATCATCAGAGATCTCATCCAGGAGCAAGGCCTTATAAGTGCAATGAATGTGGGAAATCTTTTATTACTAGTTCCCATCTCCACCGTCATCAGAGAATTCACACTAGAGAAAGGCCTTATGTGTGTGGTGAGTGTGGGAAATCTTTTACCAGTAGCACTAGTCTCCGTTATCATGAAGGCACTCACACTGAAAGGCCTAGTGAGTGCAGTGAATGTGGGAAATCTTGTATTACTCCTGCTGTTCTTCGTTACCATCAGAGAATTCATTCTAGTGAATGGCCATATAGGTGCAGTGAGTGTGGGAAATCTTTTACCTCTAAATTCAACTTTCATTATCATCAGGGGATTCATTCTGGACAGAGGTCTTATGTAAGTTGCAATGAATGCAAGAAATCATTTACTACTGTCAGTTCTCTCCGTAATCATCAGAGAGTTCATTCTGGAGAAAGACCTCATGAGTGCAGTGAATGTGGAAAATCTTTCATGTCTAGGTCAGCCCTTAAGCGTCATCAGAAATCACATGCAGGGGAAAGGCCTTTCGAGTGTAGTGAATGTGGGAAATCCTTTATCATTAGGAGTACCTTAATTAAACACCAGAGAGTTCACACAGGGAAAAGTGCTTATGTGTGTAGTGAGTGTGGGAAATCTTATAATAGTAAGTGTAGGCTTACTGAACACCAGAGTATTCACAAAGGTGAAAGGCGTTATGAATGCAGGGAATGTGGAAAATCTTTTAAATTTAACTCCGCCTTTTACTATCATAAGAAAACTCACACTGGAGAAAAGCCTTACAAATGCATTGAATGTGGAAAATCTTTTATTACTAATTACCTCCTCCGTGTTCATCAGAGAGCCCACACTGGAGAAAAGCCTTTTGAGTGCAGTGAATGTGGGAAATCTTATACTCTTAGTTACCTCCTTCGTTGTCATCTTAGAGTTCATACTGGAGAAAGGCCTTACAAATGCACCAAATGTGGGAAATCTTTTACCACTAATTACCAGCTCCATATACATCTGAGAAGTCACACTGGAGAAAAGCCTTATGAGTGCTGTGAATGTGGGAGATCCTTTAGCAGCAAATCTGGCCTCCGTTATCATCAGAGTGCTCACACTGGAGAAAGGCCTTATGCGTGTGGTGATTGTGGGAAAGCCTTTGTCCAGAGAAATCATCTCATTGTACACCAGAGAGCTCACACTGGAGAAAGGCCTTATAAGTGCACTGAATGTGGGAAATCTTTCACTCATGGCAACAGCCTCTATTATCATCAGAGAGTTCACCTTGGAGAAAGGCCTTTTAAATGCAGTGAATGTGGGAAATCTTTTATTAACACCACTAAGCTGCACTGTCATAAGAAAGCTCACACTGGAGAAAGGCCTTAGGAATGCACTAAATATAGGAAATCTTTTACAGGCAAATCACTTTGAAAATTTGAGAGTTTACCCTAGAGGAAGGCATAAATGTACAGGGAATGTGCAATTTCCTTGTTGAGTATAGGGACACTGGAGGAAATTGAGGGGCCATTGGTCTGAATTGAATCTCATTTCAAGTGTTTCTGAATCTTTATTCCTTATTCAGATTAGAGATTATAGGGTATTGAGGCACTATTGAAAGGTATGTATTCTCCAGGTCTAAAAAAAACCATGTTTCCTGATGTCCACAAATCTTTGAGCTAATCTCATTATTTGTATGACCATTGGGTCCAGGGGAAACCACAATTGGTACAGAAACTCTGGTTTAATAGGGAGTGGGGGAAATTGCAGGCAACTTGATGGAATTTACCTCTCCTAAAAGTGCATCCTGATGTTTATATGACATTGACTGTGCAGGATCAGTTTATATGCTGATTCTAGTGAATTTCACTTCAAGAACCTCATTACAGAGGCAAGAAAGGAAAAAGGGATGTGACTCTTGTGATCTAGGCAGCATTCCTGCTGACTCAGGTAGAAATGTACTTCATTGTCTCCATCTTCGCTACCACTGACAGAAGACTGATCCCCAGAGGACATGAGGAGTGTGTTAGTGGGTTCAGCATACAGTTGCAGAACCTATTTTCCAAAAAGTGTAGGACATACATGTTGTTTCCATTTTGAGCCAATCTTTAAAGCTATATCAAAGTATAATTTACATTCACCAAACTGCAGCCATGAAGTCAGACCATTGTTTCTTGGCAGGAAACCAATGACAAATCTAGACAGTGTTCTGAAAAGCAGAGACATTACTCTGCCTACAAAGATGTGTATAGCCAAGGCTATTGTGTCCCCAGTGGTCACTTTTGGTTGTGAGAGCTGGACCATAAAGAAGGCAGAATGCCAAAGAATTGATGATTTCAAAATATGGTGCTAGAGAAGACTCCTGAAGGTCCTTTTCACAGCAAGGAGATCAACCTTGAATATTAGCTGGAAGGACTGATGCTGAAGCAAGTCTTCACCTAGGTATGAACCTTGAGTCCTGATAATGCTCATATCTGTCAATGGCATGTTTACCTCTCCTTGCCCTTCCCACCTCTCCAATAACCATTGATGTAGTTTCCCTTAGAATAGATAACATGTGCGTTTTCTTGAATTTATCTGATTGGAATCATAAATGGCTATTTTTGTTTTCCTTTGTTTCATAATTGTTTCAGATTCATCCATGATGTGTACAAGTATCTCATCTCTTTAGTTTTTGATGACTAGCATTCTTATATTTAGATGTACAACTGTTTATCCATTCATCTTTTTCTGAGTATTCAGGTTACTTCTAGGTTTTCATTCTTGAAAATAAAGCTGCTCTAAACATTTGTGTCACTTCTTTATGTGGATGTATGTTCCTTTTATTGATAACTCAGGGCAATGTCTGAGTCACTTTGGTAGATGAATTTTAACACCTGATGAAACTAAGAAACTCATTTAAAATGACTGTTTCCCTTTGCATTTCCATCTGCATTGTAGGAGTTCCAGTTCCTCAACATCTGTACCAGTCATTAATATCAGTCCTTTTAGTAAGTGAGTAGTGCTGTCTCAATGAGCTTTCAATTGGTTTTACTACATTTCCCTAGAGATTCATGATTTTGAGCATTTTTAATGTGCTGTTTACCAGCTGTATATCTTCTGTATAATTGCTGATCATATCATTTGCCTTTTTTAATATGTATCATCCCTGTTCCCATCACTTAAGTCTAGGCATTCAGTGAAACAATAAACCTAGCCCTGCCTTGTAGCTTTTGCCAATTTTTAAAATTCTTAGGTTGTGAAAGTGGGATGGACTCAGGGAAGGAACTGATAAATTCTGCTTGGGTCCTCTGGGTGTTTGGTGGAAAACTAAACTTAGCATCCAGTCTTTATGTTGTTCAGTCACTCAGTCGTGTCCAACTCAAACCCCGTGAAGTGCAGCACGCTAGGCTTCCCTGTCTCACCATCTCCTGATATGGGCTTCTTATGCTCTGAACACTCTCTTCAAGGTTCTTGTCATCTTTCTCTGTAATTATTGACGATGGCATCAGGTATTTTCCCTCCATGAGGTTCACCACCACTTGGGGTGCTTTTTTCAGACACTCCAGTTGGTTGATGGGGCCACTGTGGGTCTCTCCATCCCTGGTGAGACTTCTCAGGAAAACTAGAGCCCAGGAGGTTCCCCAGTGGAACCTGGTGTGGCCTTTTTGTCCAAGGCCTATATTCTCCAAGCCACTGGCCATGTTTGATTGGAGCTGGCATCTCAGGAGAGGGAAAGGGGTGAGCCAGGTGTGGTGCAGAGCAGGAGGTGGCAGGAAGGTAGTGTTGGTAATGAGGACCCAGGAGAAACCTAGGTGTGTTGGCATCCACCAAGAGAATTTAGATAGGACCATTCAGGCTGAGTAACCAATTCTCTTGGGGTGAGGTTACCACAGCTCATCCCTAAGGTGATGCGCTGCCCAAAGTCACAGACCCCTCTTGCCCTTGGAGGTTCCTGAGCAATGCAGGACAGTGAGGGCAGGATGCAGTCTTGTTGATCTGCTGGCAGGCCCCACCTTGTGCCCAACATGTATGGTGTAAACCCCAAAGATTTCCTCAATGAGGCAAAAAACCAAGGCTTAGCCTCTGAGGCAAGAATCAAGAGTTTCAGTCTTTGGAGCAAAGTGGAGCGTCAATATTGGTATTGATTAGGTTGTCCAAGCTACATCATTAAGGGGGAAATTAATGTCAGACAAGAAAGCACAAATCAGGAACTTTAGTACTAAGCAGGATAAATGGCAATGAAAAACTACATGTAGTCATCAGTTTGAAACTCCAGGAAATCAAGGATTAAAGATTAAAAACTACATGTAGACATCATTTTTAAATTAAAGGAAATCAAATATTAATAAGTCCTGAAATGATTTCTTGTGGTACAGTGGTTAACAACTCACCAATTTCAGATGGGTGAAATTGATCCTACAGTGTAGGTGGCATGGGGTGGATTCCCTGGTCCTGGAAGATCCCATATGCCATGGGGCAACTAATCCTGTTCTCCAAAACAAGAGAAACTAATGAGAAGCTCTCACCACAACTAGAGAGCAGCCCCTGCTTGCTGCAACTTAGAGAAAGCACGAAGCAACAAAGACCACCATCACAGCCGCCACCTCAAAAGAAGAAAGAAAGAAAGTTCAGGGGGAATTCCTTGGTGGTCCAGTGTTTGGGAATCTGCCTGTCAATGCAAGGGACATGGGTTCAATCCCTGGTCTGGGAAGATTACACATGCCAGGGGCAGGTAAGTCCATGGGCCACAACTACTGAAGCCTGAATGCTTTAGAGCTTGTGCTCTGCAACACAAGAAGTCGCCATAATGAGAACCCTTCCCACAGCAACTAGAGAGTAGCCCCCACTGGCTTCAACTAGAGAAAGCCTGTGTACAGTAATGAAGACCCACAGTAACCAATAATAAATAATCTTCAAAAATTGTGCAGGGAAAGCAAAGCCTTTTAAAGTCAATCAGCTATACTCCAATGTAAAATAAAGAGTTTTAAAAAATAAAGAGAGATAAAAACTGAGGGAATTTTTTTTTCCCAGTAAAACTACCATCTTGGTTCATATGGGGTGTTATAACAAAATACCACAGCCTTGCTTATTTTTTTTTTTTTTTTTTTTAGTGAACATTTCTTTCTCATTAAGTTGGAGACTGGAGTACCAGATCAAGATACCAGCATGGATGAGTTTTCTGATGGTAACCCACTTCCTGGATCTTAGCTGATGCTTTCTTGTTGTGTCCACGTGTGATAGAAAAAACTAGGGGTCTCTCTGGAGCTTCTTATAAAGGCACTAATTCCACTTCCGAGGACTCCATCACCCTATAGCTGAAGCATTTATTAAAGACCCCATTCCTAATACTAGCACCTTTGGGACTGTTCTTTCAACACACAACTTTTGGAGGAAAAACTCAAACATTCAGACCATAGCATCTGCCTTGCAAGAAATGTGTAAATTTCATTAGAGATGAGCAAAACTATAGGTCAAAAAGTCCAATTAAAGAAGAGCACTGAAGAAGGAATAAAGGTAAAGTTATTTTTCTTGTTCTTAATTGATCTGATAACAATTTGTTTGAAATAGTAATACTAACAACACATTCTATTATGTATGCTTATGTGTATACATATTCTGTATGTGTAGCTTTTATGTAAGTAGAATTGTTGTTCAGTCTCTCAGTGTGTCCGACTCACTGGTTGGATTGCAATACACCAGGCTTCCCTGTCCTTTACCATCTTCACCAGAGCTTGCTCAAACTTGTCCATTGAGTTGGTGATGCTATCCAATCATCTCATCCTCTGTCGTCCCCTTCTCCTGCTATCAATCTTTTCTAGCATCAGGGTCTTTTCTAATGAGTCAGCTTTTTGTATCAGGTGGCCAAAGTATTGGAGTTTCAGCTTCAGCACCAGTCCTTCCAGTGAATATTCAGGACTGATTTCCTTTCAGGTGGACTGGTTGGATCTCTGCCATCCAAGGGATTCTCAAGAGTCTTCTCCAATACCACAGTTCAAAAGCATCAATTCTTTGGCACTCAGCTTTCTTTATACTCCAACTCTCACATCCATACATGACTACTGGAAAAATTATAGCTTTGACTAGATGGACCTTTGTTGGCAAAGTAATGTCTCTGCTTTTTAATATGCTGCCTAGATTTGTNCACCCTCGCCTTCTCCCAGAGTCCACAAGTCTGTTCTATACATCTGAGTCTCTTTTTCTGTTTTGCATATAGGGTTATCGTTACCATCATTCTAAATTCCATATATATGTGTTAGTATACTGTAACCAAGTTTGAACCAGTCTTTTCCATGTCTGGTTCTAACTATTGCTTCTTGACCTGCATACAGATTTCTCAGGAGGCCAGTGAGGTGCTCTAGTATTCCCATATATTTAAGAATTTTCCACAATTTGTTGTGATCCATACCACCAAAGGCTTTAGTGTAGTCAATGAAGCAGAAGTAGATGTTTTTCTGGAATTCTCTTGCTTTTCCTATGATCCAACAGATGTTGGCAATTTGATCTCTGGTTCCTCTGCCTTTTCTAAATCCAGCTTCAACATCTGGAAGTTCTTGGTTCACACAATGTTGAAGCCTAGCTTGGAGAATTTTGATCATTACTTTGCTAGCATGAGAAATGAATGCAATTGTTCAGTAGAACATTCTTTGGCACTGTCTTTCTTTGGGATGGGGATGAAAACTGACCTTTTCCAGTCCTGTGGCCACTGCCGAGTTTTCCATATTTACTGGCATATTGAGTGCAGCACTTTCACAGCATCATGTTTAAGGACTTGAAATAGCTCAGCTGGAATTCCTTCATCTCCACTAGCTTTGTTCATAGTAATGTTTGCTAAGTCCCCCTTGACTTCACATTCCAAGATGTCTGGCTCTAGGTGAGTGGTCACACCATTGTGGTTATCTGGGTCATTAAGATCTTTTTTGTATGGTTCTTCTGTGTATTCCTGCTACCTCTTCTTAATATCTTATTCTGTTAGGTTCATACTGTTTCTGTCCATTATTGTGTCCATCTTTGCATGAAAATTTCCCCTAGTATCTCTAATTTTCTTGAAGAGCTCTCTATTCTTTCCCATTCTATTGTTTTCCTCTATTTCTTTGCATCATTCACTTAAGTTTCCTTTTCTCCTTGCTGTTCTTTGGAATTCTGAATTCAGATGGGTATATCTTTCCTTTACTCCTTTGCCTTTCACATCTCTTCTCAGCTATTTTTAAGGCCTCCTCAGACAACCACTTTGCCTTTTTGCATTTCTTTTTCTTGGGTATGGTTTTGATCACTGCTTCCTGTACAATGTTACAAACTTCCATCCATAGTTCTTCAGGCACTCTATCAGATCTAATCCCTTCAATCTATTTGTCACTTCCACTGTATAATTGTAAATTAT